GAGGGCTGGCCCGCGGCCAGCGCCGGTCGCCAGAAGCGGCCGGGCGGTCGCCAGGGTCCGGAGGTGGCCGAGGAGGCGCCGGGGGAGGGGCGGGAGGAGCAGGCTGCGGGGACCTGCTGGCGCGGAGCGCGCCCCCACAGCCCGGGCCTGGAACGGGGTTCGCCCAAAGCCACCTTCCCAGGGACCCGGGAGCGCCGAGGTGGGGGCTGGGGGAGCGGGGGGCGGGTCCGAGCCAGCGGCTCTCAGACGGGGAGACGCGAGATCGCCTTCAAGACCTCCTCGGGTGCAGGGGGACCCAGGAGACGGCCGAGGGTTTTGCAGAAGCCCCTAGGAAAGACCCTCTAACCACTGCGGCTCGTCGGTTCTTCCTCGTTTTGTTGTTGGGGCATCGAGAAAGTCCTTGCCCGGAGTAGCGTGACAGCGAAGAGGGAGAGCCCTGTGAGGTCCGGGTCCCCGGAACCCGCCCCAGCGCCCCCAGCATCCCCAGCATCCCCTGGGTCTAGCGTGGGCCTGGGAAGGGGGCGGGGTCGGGCCGCAGGGGGTCCCACCCGGGCTCCGGGCTCCCGGCCCGCGCAGTCAACACGGTTGGAGGGACTCCCCACGGGCTCCCTCCACCCCACGAGGCACGCGCACTAGAGCCTGGAGAGGGCCGAGGGCCGGGGGAGGGGCCCGCGGACAGGGTCTGGGGTGGGGTGAGGACAGCTTATGCTCCTCTCCGCGTGTCCCTGCCTGGTGGAAGTGCCAGCTGGGGCTGGCCAAATATTCAGATTTTTAAAGAGAAGCTGGCAACGAGAGCTTTTGTGTCAAATCTCCTGTTGTTTTTAAACACTGACGAGTTTTTTAAATGCTAAAAACTGTTTGTTGGTCAAACAGAACGTGCCTGTTCTGAGATGTCTGTCTCCAACTCCCACTACTGGGTCTATGCACGTGTCAGGTCCACAGCGCGTGGGAATCCTGTTGTCTGGGCTCGGCATCGTGGGTACCACAGACCTGGCGTGTCGTAAATATGCGCCACAGTTGTGAACTGTTCGGGGTTTCGCCCGGTGACCAGGAGCCCCGTCCAGCGCTCGTAAACAAATACGTCCGGATAGCTCTGTTGCCATCTGGTCCTTCCTTTTCCTCCTCTCACACCAGCCAGGGGCTGCATTCCACCCTGGGATTTTAAAACTCCGGAAAACTTTTAACTCTCACCACCTCGCCTGTTCACTTGACGTTTGGATTCCGGAGAGGGGGGTTGCCCAAAGCTGCGCGGCGGCTCCCGCGGAGCTGGATGGAGACACCCCCTCTGGCGCCCTTTCCACAGGTACATTACTGGAACCTAGAAGACCATTTGGTGCAGATGCTGCAAATGCTGAACATTTGATGTGGGATTTGGGGCAAGTTGCAAGAGAGGGCTAAAAGCAACCAAATGTTTAGGAGGAGGGAGACATCCCCCCCGAAGAATTTTTAAGTAATTCATTTTGAATTTTCTTTTTAAGACAAAACTGCAGCACCCAGCAGAAAATACATTGTTTTTGTGTAACACCTCGTAGTTTAAAAAACACTTTATCCTCATGGCGTTGGAGATGCACTACATTTTTGTTGGACCAATTTTGTTATCTTTTTACTTCCTGAGGAGACAGCGATATTCATTGTATCACCGAGGACATTGAAACTGCAAGAAAGAGGGCTAGGACCCGAACCTGTCTATGGAAGCTTCTTGAGTCTGGTGTTTTAGTTGGTACAGAGGGCTTTGGAGCCAAGCATTCTTTCATCCAAATGCCAGCTGCACCAATTAATACATCCGAGATGTTGGCCAAGTCACTTAAAGGCCCTGAGACTTAGCTTTCCAATTTTGGTAAAGGGAATAACAGTCATCCCTATCAGCTATGATTGATAGAGAATTAAATAAGATAATATAAAGAATAATGCACTTCACAGGGTAAGCACCTAGAAACTAGCAACCGTTAAAGTTGTCATTTTAACAAGCAGGCTACCAGGTTATACCCCAGTACTTCTCAGATCTGGCCTATACATCTTTTTCTGTTGGCACAATCATTTTGTTTAAAATAAACCTCTAGTCAGTCCTAATGCAGTTGTTCACATAAAGGCATGGCATGCCATAGTTTTTATAGAAAAAAACAGGCCGGGCATGGTAGCTGAAGCCTGTAATCCCTGTATGTTTGGAGGCTGAGGTGAGGGGATTGCCTGAGCCCGCAGCTTTGAGACCAAGCTGGGCAACATGGTGAGACCTTGTCTGTCCAATAAATCAAAAAAGTAGCCGGGTGGTAGTGTGTGCCTGTAGTTCCAGCTACTTGGAAGACTGAGTCAGAAGGATCGCCTGAGCCCAGCAGGTCGACGCTGGGGTGACCTTAAGCGTGTGTGCCACTGCACTCCAGCCTGGGCCACCAAGTGAGACTCCAACTCAAAAAAAAAAAAAAAAGAAGAAAAGAAAAAGACATTTATTCTGTATCATCTGCAGGCTAGTAAATACAGACCTGTTTTAAAGAGCTGATTGTGTTTTTATCCCTTATCTATCCATTTGCTCATACTCTTGCTGGTGTTCCTATCTTAAACATAGGTGTTTTGGAGACCCAGAGACTGCCATGAGGAAGGCACCTGGGATATGTGGGCTACAGACTCAAGACAATCTCTGGAGCCCCCCAGTGGAGAGGAGAATGAAGTAAAAATCAAACCAGCCAGGAAGTTTTGTTCAGATAGATACATAGATTTTTTTTTTTTTAAGTTGAAAAAGTAAATGATGGCTTACAGCACAAACTTTAACACCATGCAGATTCAACCATGCTATTCTTGGCTTAAAACTGTAGACTGAGTTCCACTGCATTTAGAATAAAGTGATGCTCTACTCCAGGGACAGGGCCGGGGCTGTCCAGTCTTTGCTACTCTGGCCGACCTCATCTAGAGCCAGCGGTCCTCTGCTCACTTCACTCCAGCCCCCCTCTGCAGATCACACTGAGTTTGCCCCACCCCAGGATGTCTGAGTAGCTCTATCTTGTGCGTGAACATGGGTCCGGACTGCCCTGCACTCAGCTGCCTGCTCACATTTCTCCTGCTGTGAGGAGGAGGAGAAAGAAGGAGAGGGGGAGAGGGAAAAGGACAAAGAGGAAGAGGAGGAAAAGGAGGAGGAAAAAAGAAGTGAGTAATTAAATAAATGTTGTTTTTCCCCATCATTCTTTTCATTGAGTAGTTCAGGAAGAAAATACAAACAAGATACAGACTCCGCAAACCAGTAACCAACCACTCACTAGTAAAATAGAAAGACTTTTTTTTTTTTGAGTTAGAGTCTGGAGTGCAGTGGCATGTCACCGCCACTCCAGAGTCAACCTGCTGGGCTCAGTCAGTCCTTCCACCTCATCCTTCATAGTAGCTGGAACTACAGGCGTGAGCTACCATGCACGGCTAATTTTTTATGTATTTATTGTAGAGATGAGGTCTTGCCAAGTTGCCCAGGCTGGTCACAAAGATGGATCTTTAAAGGCCAGGCGCAGTGGCTGAAGCTTGTAATCCTAGCACTTTGGGAGGCCAAGGTGAGGGAACCTCCTGAGCCCACGGGTTCGAGAACAGCCTGGGCAACTTGGCGAGACCTCATCTCTACAATAAATTTTTTTTAAAAATTAGCCAGGTGTGGTAGCACGTACCTGTAGTTCCGGCTACTTGGAAGGCTAAGGCAAAAGAATCGCCTGAGCCCAGCAAGCTGATGCTGTGGTGGCCATGAGCATGTGTGGGGCCTCATAGAGCACTGGCTGGATCCATTAGCTCTGCCTGTAGGAGCCAGAAGGAAGCCTCATCACCTTTGATCTGTGTCTTGAAGGGTAATAGAGGGTCACCCATGAGAGAGGGTATTCGAGCATGGAAGCTTGAAAAAGCCTACTATTTGGGAAGAATCTAAAAAGTTTAGTGTGACTGGATTATAGAGGGTGTAGTATAGAATGTAGGATATGAAAGGATGGGGAAAGATGCTGAAGAACCAAACACACCATGAAAGAAAGTTTGAAGCTTAAATCATAACAGCAACAGGAACCCGTCAGATGTGTTAGCAAGAAAGTAGATGGCATCAGAGCTGTATTTTCTCCTGGCCAATATGCAAATTATTCTCAGTTACTGGAAGGAGTTTTTATTATGATAAGAAAATTCTCCTTAGTTATGAAATAAATAATCAGATCCTAGCGCAATATCTCACATTTAGTAAGTTGCTTGATCCAACCCAATATTCAGCTTGACCTGCTTTGTCCGCTTCTACAGGTACAATCACATTGAGAAACTGCATATAATGACCCCCTTGAAGAATATTTTTCCTTTAGAGATTGTCTTGACAAAGATCCTCCGTTTTATTTTCCAGTTCATTGAATGATTGAAGTTTATGGTTTCTAAACAGCCTTTACACATTATGTAACTTCAAGGTCATTATCTGTTTAACAACCCATTCCTGCAGTGGTGATCGTTTGCAGTGTGAAAGGCACCAGGCCTGGAATGGAGATACGAAGATAAATAAGCCAGTCCTTGCTCTTAAGAGCAAGCATCCGGTGAACCCACAACACGCATCCTACTGCCCTTACTGTTCACCCTGAAAGTTTGACATAATTTAGTTAAGAGAGAGGGAGACAACCCTGGGAAGTAATGGGCGTGTTTTCTTTCTAGTGACCAAAGAAGAAGCTAGACATAGTATCAAAATATTTTCTAATGCATGCTTATTAAAGAATACTTAACAGAAAAAGAGAAGGAAAATAG